ACATGAAAACGAGAAGGCAAGACAGGGAACTGCGACAAGCCGCAGCTAGTATACCCTTGCAGATTTTAGGGTGATTCAAAAATAGGCATTTTATAATGATTTGGAGCTGATTTTAAAAGATAAATAAAAATGAATCACAGTTGGAAAATGTCAGGAGAGCTTGAACCATCAAGCTAATAAATCAGACAAGCTAAAGAAATATTCCAATAGATAATAATTTATAGAATAACACCAATACTCTCTGCAAGAGCATAACAAAAGGTTAGTTAAAAGCTGTAGGCCAGTTTAGAGACAGACAGTAAAAGCGTAGACATAAGCTCGCAGGTGCTCAAACCTTTTCACTAGGCGGCGCATCGACTTCACAGTGGCCATGATTCAGATTCAGATTCTGATTCATCTGCTGGTTGGTTTTCTGCGATTCCAGGCGCTCCTGCTCATTGAGCGTGGAGAAGAGCAAGGTGCCGGCACTGGGCGTTGAGCTGCCCGCCGGCTTAGCAGCCGTTTCGGCGGTGATGCCGCCGCTGGCATTGTTGTTTATGATGTTGTTAATGAATATTTCATTAATGAGTATTTCGGCGGCCGAAGCGTTGCTTAAGGCGGGAGCCATCGACTCCGTGGCGGTGGTGCTAACGCTGGCGGTGGGGCTGCTGGGCGTACTGATGGTAGTCACGCTGGTGAGGGTGGTGTTGACACCGCTGCCCGTGTTATTCAGATTCGCCGGCAGCGACGACGGCGGTGTGAGTGGTGCACTGAATCCGGACACAAAGGTGGCGTTGCTAAATGGCGCACTCCCGTTGGCGGTGGCGGTGGTGGTGCTCGAAGTGCTCGAACTGCTGCTACTGCCCGTCGATGGCTTCTGTTCCGGTATGCTGAGCGTCAGCTTATCGCCTCCCTATTTTTGTGGTTTAGCAAGCATACAGACACAAGCACACGGAAACAACACACGCAATACCACGGATAAACATTAAGTGCGGACAACGAATGGAAATAAGAACGTACAAACAGAAGGCATGAAACGAGTGCAATGCAGTGGTCTTAAACTGGTTCGCTGGCCGACAACTTACCACTGATATGTAGGTGGCGTTCAGCGAATCCGGTCCATCGCCGTGTGCATGGTTGTTGGTGGAGCTGCTGATGCTGTTGGTGTTGCTGCTGTTCGTGTTGCTCGTGTGCATGTTGCTGCTGTGGGCGGCCGGCACAAACATCTGATTGGTGAGCTTGGCGTTGCCGCCGGCGCCCAGTTCCTCCTCAACGCGAGCTACAGGATTAGTTAATAAATCAATGTTACTTTCTAATAAATGTAATAAATACAGAAGCGAGAGCTTTTATTTCGAAACTGCATAGTTGAAGTCGACTTACCCTTCAGTATATTGCATTTGATGTTGCCAGGCGGCAGAGCCGTGGTGCTTACATTGGCCAGCTTCACCTGGTTGTTGGGCTTCTCGTTGGCGTTCGAGAGGCGCTTCAGTGTCTCCGTGTTGTGGTCCATGTCGAAGGTCTTGTTTATGGTCACCCTGCGGAAAAGATCACATTCTAATCAGTATATTTCGATAGCCGGACATGGGTTACGCTACCTGATACTGTTAGCATCATTAATGGCTTCGTTTGCTAGCACTGATGGGGATGGATCTTTGACAATGGACTTAAGCAATGAGTCTAGCTCTCTATCTTTATCCGACAAGCCGCTCTTAACACTGCACAATGATATACACAACACAGAAAGACAGGTGAGAAACACACAGAAACAGGCGAATTAGTCAAACGGGAATTGTAAGCAATATATAAAGGTACATCGATGGGTTAAAGATACGAAAGGTTTACCTGAGCTGGCCGGAGCTAATGGAAGCCTTGCCAAAGCTGCCGTGATGGGAGGCCGTGGCATTTCTAAACGGATTGGTCTCGTCGAAGTTCTTGGTGGCGTTCGGTGAGTACGGTGGCGTGTAGTCTGGATCCAATCTGAAGATAGTGGGGACATTAATTAATAAGGGTAACAACAAGCAAGTTTAAATATAATTCCTTACTTCACAGTCAGACCCGCGGCCTTGCCAATCGATCCAATCTTGCTGTATGCCGGATCCTCGTTGCTGAAGTTGGACTTGAGGGAGTTGCGGCCCAGCGAGGCGAAATTGGCTGCCGCCTGGGAGGAGGAACTGATGGAACCGCTGCAGGCTGCATCCGGTTCAATAATGGCCGAGTTTTGTATGACAGTGAGCACCGATGGCGAGGGCGTTACAGTGATGAACTGATCCGTGGAAATAAGCGAGTCGAAGGCATCGTTATTGTTATCGTTGCTTGAAGTTGGGGTGGAAACGTGGGAAGATACTAAAGGAGTCACTGGGGCAGCCGGTTGGGATCCGGCAGCAGCTGCCGCCGCAGCAGCAGCTCGAGCATTAACTGAGGCCACAGCCGAGGCCGCCGACTCCTGGGAAGCCTTTTGTCGTTCGCGCAACAGGTGCGACTGCCGACTGGCAAATCGTTGTGAAGGTCGCCTCTCGAATTG